CTGGGGAGCGGGCAGAGCACCATTCACTGACCTAGAGGGTATCCCTAAGGCACCAAGCCACATGGTGCTCTGCCCGCTCCCCAGCTCCCGCGGCTTGGCATATTAGGGATATTCCCTAGGTCAGTGCATGGAGCCCTGCCCGGCTGGAGAAGGGGGTTGCACGAGCGCCTGTTCCGCCCCCAGCAGGCATGCCTCCTAGCCTCAACATGTCCGGACCCAGCTCTCCCTACAGCAGCTGCCACCGCTGCGCTCCGAGCATAACGTCTTCTCCGGTTCCAAACTCCAAAACTCGGCTGCTGAGTCTTCAGCAGCGGCCGCTCTAGGAGTGCGCTCTATGGTTGTGGGCTGGCTACTGGAAGACTTTCTGTCTCTTACAGTCTGTAAGAGCTGGGCCCAGACATGTTGAGGCTAGGAGGCAGGCCTGCTGTGGGTGGAACAGGCGCTCGTGCAATCCCCTTCTGGGGAGCGGGCAGAGCATCACGTGGCTTGGCGCCTTAGGGATACCACCTAACTCAGTGAATGGTGCTCTGCCCAGCTGGAGAGGGGGTTTTCCGGGCAGTTTCTCGTGAGTGTGGTCACCTCATGGCTGCTTCACCCCTGAGGCTGTGCCCGGCTGTTCGGGAGCCAGTTCGCAAGGGAGCAGCCGCCCAGCAACTCCCGCCTCCGGCCAGGCAGAATGCCACTCCCCAATCTAGCGGTATCCCAAAGGCGCCAAGCAATGTGAGCTCCTTTTTCCCCCTCGTCTCTTGTGTCTCGGCGCCTTCAGGATACCACTATGTCTGTGAGCGGTGCTCTGCCTGGGGGGGTTGTCCAGGGGTTTTATTTTTGGGGGTGGGCTTATATTTTTGCCCACGCGAAAAATGTGGCAAAGCTTTAGTTTCAGGACAGGTCGTATTTTCGGGGAAACACGGTACCTACTGTATTTCTCTCTCTCTCTCCCTCTATCTACCTATCCACTACCTACCTACTCTCTCTCTCTCCCTACATATCTACTGTATTTCTCTCTCTCTCTCTCCCTCTACCTACCTACCTACTCTCTCCCTCTCTCTACCTACCTACTCTATTTCTCTCTCTCTTCTCTATCCCTCTATCTATCTACGTACCTACCTACTCTCTCTCCCTACCTACTGTATTTCTCTACCTACATACCTACTCTCTCTCCCTATCTAACCTACTGTATTTCTCTCTCTCTCCCTCTATCTACCTACCCACTACCTACCTACTCGCTCTCTCTCCCTACATACCTACTGTATTTCTTTCTCTCTCTCTATCCCTCTCTCTACCTACCTAAGCTCTCTCTCTCTACCTACCTACTGTATGTATGTATGTATGAATGTATGTATGTATGTATGTGTGTGTGTGTGTGTATATATATATATGTGTGTGTGTGTGTGTGTGTGTGTGTTTTTATTTGTGCTATTGTGTTATTGTGTATAACAAAGGCAACAGTAAAAATATTGGGTTTCTGTCATGATGGACTCTTGTGACGAGTCGAATGACAGATGATGGAAGCAGTTAGCTTCCTCCCATAATTGGGGCTTACCAGGGGTTGTNTGAGTTTGGTGAAATTGGAATTGGATCAACTGAGGAACCACAGCTTGATCCACCAAACCAGAAAAAAGAATTACCATATTTTTGGAGTATAAGACGCACCCTTTTCCCTCAAAAAAGAGGCTGAAAATCTGGGTGCATGTTATACACTTAATACAGAATTGTTTGCCTTCCAAAACCCCGCCCCCCTTCACGAAAATGGCCATGCATTGACTTTAGGAGGCTTGCAGAGTGTTCCTGGGGGCTGGGAAGGACAGAAATGAGCAAAAAAACGGGCCATTTTTTTGCTCAATTTTGCTCCCTTGCCCAGGAGCACTCTATAAGCCTCCTAAAGGCTTATAGAGTGCCCTATTTTGGAGGGGGAAAAAACCCGGGGCCGTTTTCAGGAGGTCTGCACAGTGCAAAAAGTTTTTTTTTTTTAATTTGCCTCTTCAAAATCTTGGTGCGCCTTATACTAGAAGATTTGCTTTTCACAATACATCTGGTTATTTTGTCCCTTCTTAACCAAAGTCTGTTTACATTAAAGTGATTACCATATTTTTGGGAGTATAAGACAAACCTTTTTTCAAAAAACAGGCTGAAAATCAGGGTAAGTCTTATACATCAAATACAGCATTTTTTTGCGTCCTGAAGCCCCGTCTCTTCACCAAAATGGCTGTACATACCCTTATGGAAGCTTTCAGACAGCTGGGGACGGCAGAAATGAGCAAAAAATGCCCCCCCAGCCCCCAGCAGCACTCTATAAGCCTCCATAATTTTTTTGATGAAAAACGGGCTTTTTTTTTTTGCTCTTTGTTGCCCCCACCCCACCCCCTCAGGAGTACTTTGCAAGCCTCCCCAAGGCTATTCATGCCTTTTATTTGAAAAAAATGGGCCCATTTTCCCGAGGTTTGCAGAGTGCAAAAACTTTTCCTCCCCCTTTCGGAAAGCTTTTTAGTTAGAGTGATTGATGA